CGTGGCACCGGCCTAATTTATATATTTTTAAAAGACTTATTTACTTATTTGAAAGAGTTACAGAGAGAGAGAGAGAGAGACCTTCCATGAACTGGTTCATTCCCCAAATGGCTGCAACAGCCAGGGCTGGGCCAGGCTTAAGCCAGGAGCCAGGAGCTTCTTCTGGGTCTCCCATATGGGTGCAGGGACCCAGGGACTTGGGCTACAATCAGCTGCTTTCCCAAGCACAACAGCAGGGAACTGGATCAGAAGCAGAGCAGCTGGGACTTGAACAGGCGCCCATATGGAATGCTGCCACTGCAGACGGTGGCTTAACCTGCTGTGCCACGGTGCCAGTCCTGCTAGCTATTATTTACTTCTCTATTTTATTTTCTGTATAAATACAGTTATACTCTAAAATAAATATACTTTGAAAAGTTAGGTTGCAAACTGGGTATGGGATCATAGAAGGTAGAAAAATAAGAGGAGGAAGGGATGAGTGACATGAAAGCTGACTGGGTCACAGGTGGTATCCAATCTCAGGAAGCTGTGTGCAGGACCTGGTTTCCCACCAACTGTGAAACTACATCAGTAGACTGCTCACTTTTTAAAAAACTGTTGCTATATTCTGGGATACTTCTTTTTAAAAATTCTTTTCAATTCTATATTCTGTATTGCAGAGTCCTTTGCTTAACCCAAATAAGTACAGTTCCATACTTTGTCCACAAGGTAAACAGACTATATTTTTTTAAAAAAATTTATCTTCCATAAGGCACTTCTCAGTCACACTGTTAATGTCTAGTATTAATCATGTTTTTCCGATGACTAATGCTTTTGTTGGCATCTACAATGGAAGAAGAAATCTGGCCCCCGGAATGCGTATCTCTGCTTCACATTCCTCAGCCAGCCAGCTGTCAAGTGTGAAGAGATACAACCCCCTCTATGCTGCTATTTAAAAGCAGGTCAAATAAATATTGGGCACCCATTAAGCTATTTGTGCCTACATTCTTCCTTATTTATATCATCAGATCTCCCACAAAATAGAACTGCTCAGCTCAAAGAGCAGAGACAGGCGCTGAGGAATGAGCAGAGGGAAGAAACACAGGCCAGGACTGGGCAGCACCTCCTTCTCAGAGGATGTGCCCAGTCTCTCGATGAGCTCATGTCTGCACGCAGCGTCCTGGGGGCTCCTCCTTCATTCACTTACTTCCTACTCAGATGCCCTTCTTCATCTCCTGTTCACACTCTGTGAGGTCCATCTTAAATGACATTTTCTTCACGAGGCAAACTTCTCTGTTCTAGCTGGAACTGAGATTTTCTGATAGCATTTCACAGAATCATGAGATTGTGGAGTTAGAGGGAATCTTACAGTAATTTAAACCTCTCTTCCTTCACAAACCCTGGGAGAGGTGACTATTTTCTTTTTTTTTTAATAAAGATTTTTTTATTTATTTGAGAGATAAAGACAGTGAGAGGGAGAGACAGAGAGAGGTCTTCCATCCGTTGGTTCACTCCCCAATTGGCCGCAACAGTCAGAGCTGTGCCGATCCGAAGCTAGGAGCCAGGAGCTTCTTCCTGGGCTCCCACATGGGTGCAGGGGCCCAAGGACTTGGGCCATCTTCTACTGCTTTCCCAGGCCATAGCAGAGAGCTAGACTGGAAGTGGAGCAGCCGGGACTAGAACCAGTGCCTGTATGGGACTGCACCATGGTGCTAGCCCCGAGAGGTGACTACTTTCAAGGTGTGCTAATAAGTTAGGAGTAAGCAATTCTGAATTTGCCACAAGGTAGTTCAGTAATACACTGCCATGTACCACGAGCTCTGCCTGTTCTTCCAGTTGGTAAATGTTTTGAGCAGAGTAGTCAAATCTTGTGCATCTCTGATTTGCCCAGGAACTAAGCATGCAGTCAGGTGATTATGTGCCTGCCAGGCTGATTCAGACAGAAGAGGTGCTATCCCGAGCAAAGTCACAGGCTTCACTGGTGGGAAACAATGCTGCTGCAGAGGCCAAAAGCAAGTTTTTGCCTAGAATCTGCTGTTATCATAAACTCTGTAAATCAGAACAGCCTCAAGTAGATGGGAATTATAACTTCTAAAAGATTCAAGGGGAAGAGATATCAAACAACTCTGTTCTTATATAAACAGGGCAAGCTTTCCTAACCCCAAAGTCAAGTGGGTGATGTGTTTTTCCCCAGCTGGATTACCCTTAAAAGTGAAATAAAGGGGCCAGTGCTGTGGTGTGCTGCTGCCAGCGACACTGGCATCCCATATGTGTCCAGAGGCTCTACTTTTTTTTTTTTTTTTTTTTTTTTTGACAGGCAGAGTGGACAGTGAGAGAGAGAGACAGAGAGAAAGGTCTTCCTTTTGCCGTTGGTTCACTCTCCAATGGCCGCCGCGGCTGGCGCGCTGCGGCCAGCGCACCGCGCTGATCCGATGGCAGGAGCCAGGTGCTTCTCCTGGTCTCCCGTGGGGTACAGGGCCCAAGCACTTGGGCCATCCTCCATTGCACTCCCTGGCCACAGCAGAGAGCTGGCCTGGAAGAGGGGCAACCAGGACAGAATCTGGCGCCCCGACCGAGATTAGAACCCGGTGTGCCGGCGCCGCAAGGCGGAGGATTAGCCTAGTGAGCTGCGGCGCCGGCCAAGAGGCTCCACTTTCGATCCAGCTCCCTGCTAATGGTCTGGGAAAAGCAGCAGAAGATGGTTCAAATGCTTGGGTCCCTGCTGTTCCTAAGGGAGACCCAGATGAAGTTCATGGCGCCTGACTTCAGCCTGGTCCACTGCTGGGCATTGTGGCCATCTGGAGACTGAACCAGCAGATGGATGTTTCTTCCTCTAACTCCGTCTTTCAGACAAATAAACACATCTTTTAAAAAAGTGAAATAAAAAATAAACCTTAGATTGTTTTTCTTTAAACATATACCATATGCATTTTTTAAAAAGATGTACCAGTGTACACCTATTAGAAAATCAGAATGCTATATGAAAAAAACTGACTAAATTCTCAGGAATGTTTTCAAATTCTGGCCAATTTTTCTAACAAGGATGCTTTACATAAGAGGGCCACAAGCATTAAAAAGATACTGTGGATATAGGGAGAAGCTGGGAGATCAGAGAGGTTTTCTTTTTTCTTTTTTTTATAGAGATTTTGAGAGAGACAGGGAGAGACAGAGAGAGAATGTTACATCTACTGTTTCAATCCCCAAATGGCCCCAAGTGCCAGAGCTGGGCCGATCCAAAGCCAGGAGCCAGGAGTCTCCTCTGGGTCTCCCATGTGGGTACAGGGGCTCAAGCACCTGGGCTATCCTCTGGTGCTTTCCCAGGTGTATTAGCAGGGAACTGGATCAGAAGTGGAGCAACTAGGACTCAAACCAGTGCCCACATGGGATGCTGGTGCTGTAGGCGGTGGCTTTATCTGCTAAGCCACAGAGCTGGCCCTGAGATTAGAGTTTTAGCTTTCAGTTTGCCACTATTCCAGACACTTATCCACCCATCCATCTAGTCATTCATTTATTTTTTAAAAGATTTATTTATTTATTTATTTTAAACACAGAGTTACAAGAAAGGAAAGATAGAGGGAGAGAGATCTTCCATCCACTGGTGCACTCCCTAAATGGCTGCAATGGCCAGTGCTGGGCCAGGCCAAAGCTAGAAGCTTCTTCTGGGTCTCCCACATGGATGCTAGGGCCCAAGTACTTGAACCATCTTCTGTTGCTTTCCCAGGCCCGTTAGAAGGGAGCTGGATCAGAAGTGGAGCAACCAAGACTCAAACTGGCACCCATATGGGATGCCAGCATTGCAAGCAGTGGCTTAACTTGCTATATCACAGTGCAGGTTCCTAGCCATTCATTTTGTTCTTCAACTAGCATTTATTAAATACATACAATATTCCAGGTTCCTTACTGTGCAGAGCAACAAACCAGGCAGATATGCCAACAGCATTCAGGAGAAGACAAACAAAAGAAAGCAAAGAAGACAAGTACTCCCTGTAGCAAATGCCACCATGGACATAAACGGGATGCTAGAGATGAAAGGGTGGGAGGTGGCCGTAGAAGTAATCACTTGAGTCTGGCCAGCTATGCATGCTGCACCCACCTAAGAAACAGCAGGCAACTCACTGCACTTCTCTGGTGTTCAGATCTCAAACACGAAAAACCTAAGGCTGAGCTGGGTGGCACCAGAGTAGAAACAGTCCTACATTTGAAGTAAGGAAATCTGTGCCCTGGTCTTGCTATAAAACCACCCTACCTGTACTGTCTCCCTGAGGAGAGGCTGTGAAAGCCCCTGGGAACTAAAGTTACTTTTAGACTAAGGCCACACTCTTTAAGAGTGTTCCTTTCATTTCTCCTCCCACCCCTGCCTCTCTCATAAAGATTTAATTATTTACTTGAGAGGCAGAGTTACAGACACACAGAGAGAGATCTTTCATCTGCTGGTTCACCCCCCAAGTGGTCACAATGGTCAGAGCTGGGCCAATTTGAAGCCAGGAGCCAGGAGCTTCTTCTGGGTCTCCCATATGCCCAAGGACTTGGGCCATCTTCTACTGCTTTCCCAGGTGCATTAGCAGGGAGCTGGATTGGAAGTGGAGCAGCCAAGACTCAAACTGGCACCCATATGGGATGCTGGCACTGCAGGTGGATGCTTAACCTACTACGCCACAGTGCTGACCCCTCCTTTTACAAAACTCTTCAGCTGTTGTTTTAACAATTCTCTTGATGTTTACTTTCACATTCACTACAGAAAACCTCAGAGAACTTCAGAAGCATTAAGTTGTCTATTCTACTATGTCCAGACAAGAAGCATACTCAATATATTTTTTCTTGCACATTAAAAATCCAAACAGCCCACACACTAGTTCCTTCCTTTCTCTTCTTCACCCTGCACTGGTTAAATCAATTGATAATAGGCAAAAGAAAACCCAGACCACTGCCAACCCACTATCTTTTCTTTTACATTTTAGCTAAGTTTGGCTACAGAGTTAAACAGCACCCTCCACGAATGCTGGTGCATCCCGTCCACGTACCGGGTGTAAGGTGCCGTTACTGGTCACCGCCGGGGGGCGCGCCCACCGCTCGTTTTCCAGCTCTTCCATCACCTGGCTCATGGCACTCTTCAGCCATGTGTCCACAGAAACACCGATCTGCTTCAGCAGGTCCAGCCGAGCCTCAGCTTTCAGCTTAATTATCTAAGAAAATCAAGAAAATGGCCAGAAATCAAGGCATTTTTTCCTCAGACTGGTTAAGTTACTCCTGCCTGATTGATTAATCTGAACAATCTTGATATTCACCAGCAGTTCTTCCTTGGCAGAGATGCAATTTTTTCCCTTGGTGAGGAGGGAGAGAACACAGACAGGAGGAATTGAGGCTTTCTGACAAGTGTTATAACTGGCAAACGTGACCTGCATTTTCCCAGGGGCATGGTACTGATGCATACCAGATACAACCTATGAATCAGAAGAGGTTAATGTGCCATAAAGTCTACTTGCTCCTCCTGCTAATGAGGCTATGCCTCAAAACACCCTGAAATCCTGCATTTTCAGTAGACTTTTTCTTTCTTGTGAATGATCAATCACACCCCTGACTGAGTGCAGAAGTAACCAATTTTTAACCTGGAGTAAAATACACTTGACAACTGGACACAATTATTTCCTTCTACTACTTCTCCTACTCGCCCTTGCTCCCACAGTGCTCCTCACTGTTCCTCACGTGCTCTCAAGCCCTTGTTCTATGCAGCTCCTCTGTGGACGATAACTTTGCATTGCTTTTTATGCCTTATGAACGGTTATCATTCTAGGGTCATTCCAAATATTACTCTTCTTTTTCCCTCCTTTTCGCTTCCCTTTCCCCTCCCTCCCTCCTTCCTTCCCTATATGGGCACAATGGCTGGGGCCTGGCCAGGCTAAAGCCAGGAGCCAGGAACTCCATCTGAGTCTCCCACATGGATGGCAGGGGCCTAAACACTTGGGCCACCATCTGCTGCTTTCCCAGGAGCCTTAGCAGGGAGCTATATCAGTAGCAGAACAGCTGGGAACCTGAACCCGCACTCTGATATGGGATGCTTAACCTGCTGCACCACAACAACACTGCTACCCTTTAATAACCATTTTTAATAATAAAGTGTTTCTCTTTAATAATAATTTTAAAAAGATTTGTTTATTTATTTGAAAGAGTTACACAGAGAGAGAAGGAGAGGCAGAGAAAAAGAGAGGTCGTCTATCTGTTGGTTCACTCCCCAATTGGCTGCAATGGCTGGAACTGTGCTGATCCGAAGCCAGGAGCCAGGGGCTTCCTCCGGGTCTTCCCACGTGGGTGCAGGGGCCCAAGGACATGGGCCATCTTATACTTCTTTCCCAGACCATAGCAGAGAGCTAGACCAGAAGTGGAGCAGCCGGGACTTGAACCTGTGGCCATATGGGATGCCGGCACTGCAGGCAGCAGCTCTACCCCTATGCCACAGTGCCGGCCCCTCTCTAATAATTCTAACATTGTTCAGCACAAGCTTTAAGAACTTCCCTTTTGATGTGGCTGCATTTGGCAATTGACAGTAATGTGCTTTGGCTTTTAAATTAAATTATTATGCAGTGGTCAAAAACAGAGGTTGAGAGTAAAAAGTTCTTATTCTCCAAATTCAAGATAGGAAATGATTGTCTGTTCTTTAGTCCTCATACCATAAATTATATATAAATAACCAAGAAACCAGTTTTTAACCTGTCTTAATCACATAGTGACTTCTTTGCTCCAATAGCCACGCCTCTAAGGTCAGCCAATCAGTGACAATGTACCACACTTCTAATAGGCAGACAATCAATCCCAGTCTCACCCCAGTAATTACACTTTTACTCCTTCTTCTAGTTTTCTGCCAATCCCTAAACACCATGACTAAAAGTGAGTCAACTTGGGACTGGCATTGTGGTGCACAGGTTAAACTGACCTGTGACACCACATGGCCATCTGTTTGAATCCCAGCCACTCCACTTTCATCAGCTCCCTGCTAATATGCCTGGGAAGACAGTGGAAGATTACCCAAGTGAAGTAGGCAGGCATACAGGCTAAAATTGATTAGGTTTGTGAGCTGGAAGACCACGCCTTCGCCACGCCCCTGTGTGACCCCACGCCCTACCTTACACCTTCACCATGTGCCTGTGTGACCTGATCCCTCTACCTGGCCACACCTGGGTGCCCACCAGCCAATCAGGTTAATTAACCACTCCCCTTTGGGAAGTGGTTTAAAAGCTTGGAACACAGTGTATCCCACCCTTCTCTTCTTCCCTGGCCTCTTGCCAAGTGGGAACTTGCTGTATTCCTGCGCTTCCAAGGCGTGTGGCCTTTGGGCCACCTGCCCTAGGCTTCCTGGCCTAGATGCTCCTCCACGTGGCTGGTTCCTAGTGCTCGGTATGAACCCAGATTTACCTCTCTCCCTTAATAAAGCTCTCACTCTCCTATGCATTTTTCTCACTAAATAAAAGCTTAAAATGTACCATGCTGCCTCGTTTATCTGTGCCGGTATTTAGAATTCTTCTCTAAATATTAGGCAAGAACCCTCTTGGGCTTATTAATATTGGGGATTTATTAATAAGCATATGGTAAAATCATATGGCACCCCAAATTCCGGTAGCATATGTGGCACCATAGATAGCACTTCTGGGGAACTCTAAAGGGCCACATTTTTGTATAAATTTTAGGGGGTCATGTCCGATTTCACAAGTGCTTGGTCCCCTGCTACCAAGGAGGGAGACCCAGATGGAATTTCAGATTCCTGGCTTTGGCCTGGCCAAGCCCTGGCCACTGTAACCATAGGGGGAATGAACCAGCAGATGTGAAGTAGGCAGGTGTACTCTAGTAGGCCAGACCTACGAGATGAGCCCCTGGAAAACCCAGATGCCGAATGGTTTACTGATGGCAGCAGCTATATGGATGAAGGAGTTAGAAAGGCAGGCTATGCCATAGTGGATCTTACTCAGACAATAGAAGCCCAAGCACCACCACACAATACTTCAGCCCAAAAGGCGCAGCTTATTGCATTGACTAGGGCTTCACAACTGGGAAAAGGCCAGCGAGTTAATATATATACGGATTCCAGATATGCTTTCCTTGTGTTACATGCAGCAATCTGGAAAGAGAAAGGCTTACTGACTGCAAAGAATTGCCCTGTTAAATATGGAAGAGAGATACTGGCTCTACTTCAGGCAGTACTGGAGCCTTTAGAAGTGGCCGTCATCCACTGCAAGGGACATCAGAAGGGAGATAATTATGTTAACCAGGGAAATGCACTAGCAGATAGAGCAGCTACACAGGAAAGTTTGGAAATGGCCCTTACACCTCAATCTGTGGAAGTGGCTAAGGAACCTCACTACACGGAGCCTGAGAATGAATGGGCCCAACAGTGGGGCTATATTAAAAACACAAATGGATGGTGGATGCTAAATCACAGAATTATGCTACCAATGGCCACTCAATGGAAAATTATGAAGGAGATACACAACTCTACCCACTTGGGAAGAGACGCCTTACTACAACTGGTCTCCTGAGCTTTTGGAGGAAAGGGACTAAATACGATCATAAAGGAAGTAATTCGCTCTTGCCCACTATGTTTACAGAACAACCCTAGCCATGTAAGGCCACCTCCCCTGTTGACTCCTGTGTAGAGGAGGGGAACAGACCCAGGTGAAGACTGACAGGTTGATTTTACCAATATGCCCCCAACAAGCAATTATAGGTACCTTCTAGTCTTTATTGACACTTTCACAGGATGTGGCATTCCCAATAGCAATTCTGGGGAACTTTAAAGGGCCACAATTTTGTATAGATTTTAGGGGGTCATATCCGATTTCAGATGCAATCTCTCTCTTTGTCCCTTTTCCCCTGCAACTCTGCCTTTCAAATCAATCTTTTTTTTTTTTTTTTAATTTATTTATTTGACAGAGTTAGGCAGTGAGAGAGAGAGAGAGAGAGACAGAGACAGAGAGAAAGGTCTTCCTTCCGCTGGTTCACTCTCCAAATGCCCGCTACGGCCAGCACTGTGCCGATTCGAAGCCAGGAGCCAGGTGCTTCTTCCTGGTCTCCCATGCGAGTGCAGGAGCCTAAGCACTTGGGCCATCCTCCACTGCCCTCCCTCCCGGGCCACAGCAGAGAGCTGGACTGGAAGAGGAGCAACCAGGACTAGAACCCAGTGCTCATATGGGATGCCAGCCCCGCAGGTGCCGGCCCCTCAAATCAATCTTTAAAAAGTATATAAATGTGTGTCAACTTCTAAAGCATTCACAGCTTTAAAAAATCCTTATCATTGGCTGGAGCCGCGGCTCACTAGGCTAATCCTCCGCCTTGCAGCGCTGGGTTCTAGTCCCGGTCGGGGCGCCGGATTCTGTCCCGGTTGCCCCTCTTCCAAGCCAGCTCTCTGCTGTGGCCAGGGAGTGCAGTGGAGGATGGCCCAAGTGCTTGGGCCCTGCACCCCATGGGAGACCAGGAAAAGCACCTGGCTCCTGCCATCGGATCAGCGCAGTGCGCCAGCCGCGGCGGCCATTGGAGGGTGAACCAACAGCAAAAGGAAGACCTTTCTCTCTGTCTCTCTCTCTCACTGTCCACTCTGCCTGTCAAAAAAAATAAAAATAAAAAAAAAGATAAAAAAAATTCCTTATCATTTAAAAATTATCTATTTACTTATTTGAGAGGCAGAGAAGAGAATTAGAGACAGAGAGTGAAGGTGGGGGAAGACAGAGAAACAAAAGAGCTCTCATCTACTGATTCAATCCCCAAATGGCCCAGATTTCCAGGGCTCTGAGCTGGGAACTTGATCCAAGTCTCCCACATGGGTGGTAAGAGCCCAACTACTTGAAACATCACTGCTGCCTCCCAGGGCCTGCATTAGCAGGAAGTTGGAATTGGAAGTGGGGCTAGGACTCTAACCCAGGCACTCTGATAAGGGACATGGGTGTCCAAGGAGTCTCTTAACCATTGTGCGAAATGCCTGCTTTCCAAGCATACTTTTAAATAACTTTTTTTTTTTTTTTGACAGAGTGGACAGTGAGAGAGAGAGAGACAGAGAGAAAGGTCTTCCTTTGCCATTGGTTCACCCTCCAATGGCCGCACGCTGCGGCTGGCACAGTATGCTGATCCGAAGCCAGGAGTCAGGTGCCTCCTCCTGGTCTCCCATGTGGGTGCAGGGCCCAAGGACTTGGGCCATCCTTCA